TATTTTTTATAGTTCTCTTAAACACACTACAGAAGAATTTCCTGTGATTTGCCTCTTCCCGAGTTTGGGGTCCACCACCTATTCCGACATCCCTTCATTACGACATGCTTCTATTAAGACGTACTGGTTTTACACTTTGTAGCAGAGGTGGGGACTTGCGAGTTGAGTCAGACTTGAGTCACAATTTTAAGGACTTGAGGCTTGACTTGATAAAATGGACTAAGACTTGGGACTCAACTTGGACTTGAAGGTCAATGACTTGGGACTTGACTTGGACCTAAAAATACTTTTCTCTTTACAGTTGATAAATGCAGTGCTGAATTTTACAGGAACAAACTGGAACATGTCCCTCCCACTTCGGTTTGTTACTTTGGATGGAACTGAAGTACTGTGATGTAGGATCCTCAAATGTACTACAGTAATATACAGTACAATATGGTAAAACAGATGGAACTACACAGAGAACATGATCCTTCATGACAAAATAACTGTTATTTAGCATGTTTAAATCTTAACTCTTTCTCTTATGACTAATGATTCACATTCACACAGGATCTTGACAAGACATTAAAAAAGGAAAAATTTGCATTTCTTATGTAAAAACTCTTATCTAAATACTTATCTAAATACTTATGTGATTTGAACATTTGTATTTCTTGCAGCACTCCTTCAGATTTGGTTTTGTTTTTCTCATCTTTGTGTCTATCCTTTGAAAATACCAGGTTAATGCTTTGTCCTTTCAATTACAACATTTTTAAATTATAAATCAGATCATAAATCAGATTTTAAATCACATCTTAAATAAATCAGACTCTTAAAGTTACTCTCTTACTTGAATAAACACTTTTTAAGTCTTACTTCAATAATTTCTTGGACCACTACTTTGTACTTCTACTTCAGTACAATTCCTGGATACTTTACCCACTTCTAAACATTGGCTTGTGCAAGAGCATCATGGTACTATGCAAGAGATCCAGAGGTCGCGCGTCATGGGAAAAGCTGTTGACGGAGAAGGAGAGTCTACGTCGGCAGTGAGGGTTTGAATTTCAAGTCTTCTGAGTTCTAGCTCCAATGTTTGTATGAGGCCCGCCGTAAACGCACCTTTGTGGTTTTGTCACTGTTGCTTTTTGGACTCTGAAAGGCACCGAAAGCTTCTGTGATAAAAGGTTGTCAAAAACCTACATTTTCCCCTCTCTGTTTTCTTCAGAGGCGGTTGATGCAATACTAAAGGGGGAAAAACAAGAATAGCTAGATGTGTTTGTTAGGTTGAAAATCCAAAACGCTTTCTGGTGGATCTCATAATTCTACCTAAAGTTTAAAGACGCTGTATCTGATTTTTACAGTCTTAAAAAGGTGAAAAGACCCTAAACAGAACTAGGTCCATTTTAATAGTTTAGAGTGGTCCAATTTATTCCTCACTTACCTTATGCATTCCAAAGATCCTAATTAGTGACCACAAAGAGTTTATATACAATTTCCAACTCTCAGAGGAAAGTTCTCAGTTTTTTCTGTGACATTAAAGCTAACAGCATTTAGTAAGTAAGTAAGTAAGTTTTTTATTTATATGGTAAACTACTATTGTAGCCACAGCTGCCCTGGAGCAGACTGATGGATGCGAGGCTGCCAATCTGCACCATCAGCCCCTCCTATCACCACCATCACTCATGCACACACCACTTTCATACTAGGCAATGTGGATGAAGTGCCTTGCCTAAGGACACAATGAAAGTTTTTGCAGCTCTCGCCCCCTGTGATTTTCCCAGCGGTCTCCCATCCAAGTACTAACCAGGCCCGGCCTTGCTGAGCTTCCGAGATCAAATGGGATCAAAGCTCCCTGGTATGGCCACATTTAGCATGCTAACACCCACTTCCTGATTATCAGACCCAAAGTTGGACCTCAGGAAGAACAGTCTTTACCCCAGGAAAGGCTAATGGGGATTCAGTAAATAAATAAATAAATAAATACAACATACATACATACATACATACATACATACATACAT